AGAACGCCATGTTCCGCCACGAGTGGATGAGCCAGATTCAGGAGGCGAATGCCGCGGAGGAGGACCCTCGCGATGCGATGGCCCGCGAGTACAACCTCAACTTTGTGCCGATGGACGGGAACATCGCCTGCCTGGTCAATGGCGCCGGCCTCGCCATGGCCACCATGGACATCATCCACCGCTACGGCGGCAGCCCGGCCAACTTCCTCGACGTCGGCGGCGGCGTCTCGCAGACGGGCGTCGAAAACGCCTTCAAGCTGATCATGACCGACCCGAATGTGAAGGCCGTCCTCGTGAACATCTTCGGCGGCATCGTCAACTGCGAGATCATCGCCAAGGGCCTCATTGCGGCCAAGTCGGTGCTGACGGTGCCACTTGTGGTCCGAGTTGAGGGCACCAACGCCGAGCGGGCCCGAGAGCTGCTGGCCACGGTGCCGGACATTATCGCGGCGAGCAACCTCGACGACGCGGCGCAGAAGGTGGTCGCCTTTGCCAAGCCCTGAACGCCTTGCCCCCTGATTTCGATTTCTATTTTCTATTTCCCTCCTCTTCTTTTCTATTCTTTTACTTTTTCCGTTAGCACTTCTGTTTCTGTTCTTTGCTTTTCTTTTCTTCTTTTCTTTTCCTGCCTTTTCTTTTCTACTAAAGTTGATCGCTGAAGAGGAGGAGGGTGCTGTAAAAGATGTGGGGTAGATTTGGGCGCTTCGATTTTAGCAGCAGCAGCCAAAGCTTTTTTGGTAGTCTGATGAGCGGCTGCTGATAACGGTGTCAACAGTGAGAGAAAAGAAAGAGAGAGAGACTCTCTCTTACATGAGCGCAACAGTGCTCATAAAGACGTAAACAGTTTACCAGTGCCAGTGCGAGTAACCAGCAAAGAAAAGCAACAGCAGCATGTGATCATGCCGTTCCTTCCTCTTCAACTGAAGCCTCATTTTCAAGTGTGATACTACCACCACCACCTCCTCTCAGTCTTCAAGAACATTGCCATTATCATTACCCTTACCTTTATCATCATCATCAACTTCATCAACAGCAACTTCGACAGCTTACCACCCACTCATCAGCACTGAACAACAAGTACGACAATTTAGAACTTCAAGCTCAACACTCAACTTTTTGTACACCAAAGACTAAAGACAATGGACGCCACCGCCGTCGAAGCGGGCGGCGGCGGTGATGAAATGCTGCTGACGAGAGGCAACCGCCCACCAAATAGAACCGAGGAGAATGACAACCTAAACAACCAAAATAACCAAAACAAAACCACCGAAAACTCTTCAAATCGAACCTCCTCCTCCTCCTCAAACAACTCCCTCCACTGCTGCCGCATCTGCCTGGACAACCGCGATCCCTTGGAGTTCATCTCCCCCTGCCAATGTTCCGGTACGCTGAAGTACGTCCACCGCCAATGTTTCCTCCGCTGGGTGCGGGAGCGCTCTCGCTGGGGCCGCCGGCGCTTCGAGGCGCAGTTCAAGTGCGAGATCTGCAACACCNTAACCAAAACAAAACCACCGAAAACTCTTCAAATCGAACCTCCTCCTCCTCCTCAAACAACTCCCTCCACTGCTGCCGCATCTGCCTGGACAACCGCGATCCCTTGGAGTTCATCTCCCCCTGCCAATGTTCCGGTACGCTGAAGTACGTCCACCGCCAATGTTTCCTCCGCTGGGTGCGGGAGCGCTCTCGCTGGGGCCGCCGGCGCTTCGAGGCGCAGTTCAAGTGCGAGATCTGCAACACCATCTACCTCGACTACCACGGCGGTGGCGGCGGCGGCGGCGACAGAGGTCCTGGACCGGAAGTACTTCGAGTCGGCGGCTTCTTCGCCTACCTCCGCGAGTGCTTCAACTTTCGAGAGGCCAATCGAAGTACCGTCGCCATCCTCATCATCACCATCCACCTCTACCTCCTGTACTACGTCGCCCTGAGTGGCCCCCTCGAGGTGACGGTCCACTCCGCCGTCGTCCCCGACATGGACATTCCCTTTCTGTGGGCGGAAAAATCGGACGCCTACGTGGCCGTCTGCCTGGACCGAGACTGTCGCTGCGAGACGGAGGTGGCCGACAATGATAACACGCCCCGGTGGGAGCATCGGTGCGAGTACTGGGCCGACAAGTCCGCCTTTCTCTTTAGTCGGCTCACCTTTCTCGTCTACGATGCGGACAACATCTTCGACCAGACGGACGACTTTATCGGCGAGGTCAGCGTGGGCATTGGCCGCCTGCTGCTGCGCGGCCTGGCCAGCGGGAAGCTTCCGGTGAAGTTGAAGTGGGAGGTCCCCTATCGGGGCAGTCTTCTGGTGACGGTTCGATGGACCTCTAATCTGCTGTGGCTGCTCAATCGGCTCTACTGATCGGTTGATGATGTTGTTTTTTAATCCCTTGGTGGAAGATGGGGTTTTTACTTTCCTTTTCTTTCTTTTCCCCTTCCCCTTCTGGTGATTTTTTTAAACACAAAGTAAGATTAAAAAGAACGGCAGAGTTTTTGAGGTGAACTGAAGAAAAAGAGAGGACAGAAAAATTCACCTGCGCAACTCTAAGAACTGAGAAATCACCGCCTCAGTTTTTAAGCAGCGAAAGATGCGGTTAAGATTTGCGGCCTGTCTTTTTTTCGCACCTAGCTGTGAAAAAAAGTTTTTTTCCTTTGATGAGAGGGGACTGAGTGAGTGTGTGTGCGAAAGATTTGTGTAGGTAGAAAGAAGTTCTCACCTCGCTGAGCAGGCTGATTTTAGCGCCTTGGCGTTTTTAGACGATTGTCTTCTTTCCTCATCTTCTTGTTCAAAGTTTTCAACCAAAGATCGACGATCACCATCATGTCTTCGAAATGCGAACTGGCCGCCTATACCGCCCTCCTCTTGACGGCAGCTCTTGTCATCCAGCATGACCACCGAATCGCCTTCCTCGAGACTGAATGGTTCCAGCAGTACTGGACCATATCTTTGCCCATCTCCGTGGTCTACGGGCTGATGGTCGCCTTTGGCGGGCGCTTGATGGCCGGCGCCATCAGCCCGGCGCTTCACAAGAGCCTCCTTCGATGCTGGAACTTCCTTCTCGCGCTCTTCTCCATCCTGGGCGCCTATCGAGTGTGCGGCGAGTTTCTGCAGACGATCACCGAGGATGGACTTCAGGCGACCTTCTGCCGGCGAAGCTACTTCGAGCGATCTCGGGCCATCTACTTCTGGTACTTTCTCTTCGTCGTCTCGAAGGTGGCGGAGATGGGCGACACGGTGCTGCTGCTGCTGGGCGGGAAGCCGGTTCGCTTCATCCACTGGTACCACCACATTGCGACGATGATCTACTCCTTCTACATTGCCGCCTACCTGCCGGCCATCGGCCGGTGGATGGCCGCCATGAACTTCGCCGTCCACTCGCTGATGTACAGCTACTACTGGTTGGCGGCGGTCGGCTGGAGGTTGCCGCGGCCCGTTTCGATGACCATCACCGCGCTGCAGATTGTGCAGATGTTCGCCGGACTGGGGGTGACGGTGGCGGCGTATTGGGCGGAGAATTGGAGGTCATCGTCTTCAGCTTCGAAAATGGAAGTTGGAAGTTGCCAGAACGGCGGCTACACCGTGGAGGCGGCCAT